TCTGAGGAACAGTGAGGATACAGGTATTTCTGAGTCAGAATGAGCAAGAGGGAGGATGGAAGGAGATGAGACCAGGAAGTGAACTATGGTCATGTGGGCATGTTGTAGACTGTGGTAAAGATTTTTGATTTTATCCCAATAGAGTTTTGAGCAGGAGAGGGACATGATCTGCCTTACTTTTTAAGAGCTTTATTGGGGTTACTTTTTGGAGAATAGATTTGAGAGGGATAAGAGCATAAACTAGGAAACCAGTTAGAAGATTTTGCTTTTCCAGTAGTCCTGGTTAGAAATGAAGGTGGCTTGGGGTGCCTGGGTGGCTCAGTTGGTTGAACGTCCTTCGGCTCAGGTCGTGATCTCACAGTCTGTGAGTTCGAGCCCAGCGTCGGGCTCTGTGCTGATAGCTCAGAGCCTGAAGCCTGCTTTGTATTCTGTGTCACCCTCTCTCTCTGCTCCTCCCCTGCTCACGCTCTCTCTCTGTCTCAAAAATGAATAAAAACATTAAAAAAAAAAAATGAAGGTGGCTTGAATCAGAGTGGTAGTAGTGGAGGTGGTAAGGAGTGGTTGGAAGGATTTGCCAATGGTTTGGCTAGGAGTGAGGCTGACTTGAAGGTTTTTGACCAGAGGAACCACATGAATAGTGGAGCCATTTACTTAGATTTGGAAAACTGAAAATGGAGTAGGTCTTCGGAGGATGGGAGGATTGTGGTATGAGAAATGTGGGGCCTATTAGACATCCAGGAGATGTAGAGTAGCAGTTGAATTTCAGGCCTAAAGTTCAAGGGAAATGTTGAAGCAAATGGGACATCATTTACAAGTTGAATTCTGGCTGGAGGAACCTGCAAAGAACACTGAAAAAGATAGGGTAACAAGATAGGATAAAAATCAGGACATGTATTTAGAAGTTTAGAAAAGGAGAAGTGACACTGAAATAGGAACTGAAAAATAAGAGCCAGAAGAGTATGGTATCAGGGAAGCCAAGTGGAAAAAAAAAAGTATTTTGGAGAGGAAGGAGTAATCAGGTATATCAAATACAGCTTAGGAGTGCCTGGGTGGCTCAGTCGGTTAAGCATCTGACTCTTGATTTTGGCTCAGGTCATGATCTCATGGTTCTTGAGTTTGAGCCTTGAATCAGGCTCTCTACTGTCAGCACAGAGCCCGCTTTGGATCCTCTGTGTCCCTCCCCCGCTTGCTCACATGCTCTCTCTCTCTAAAATATTTTTAGAAATTTAATTTTTTTTTAATCTTTATTTATTTTTGAGAGAGAGAGAGCATGAGCAGGGGAGGAATAGAGAAGGAGACACAGAATCCGAAGCAGGCTCCAGGCTCTGAGCTGTCAGCACAGAGCCCGACGCGGGGCTCGAACCCACGAGCTGTGAGATCATGACCTGAGCTGAAGTCGGACGCTTAACCGACTGAGCCACACAGGCACCCCTATTCTTAGAAATTTAACAGAAACAAATTAAACATTTTAAAAATATATATAGCTTAAAAGGTTGAATAAGAATTGACCATTGAATTTGGCACTGTAGAAGTAATCATTGGCAAGTAGTTTTGGTAGATTGGTGGTATCTAGGCTTATTGATATGTGTACTGTTCCATCACATAGATGTTACCATAGTTTATTCACCACTCATCATCAGTTATTAGCCATTTAGGTAGTTTTCAATTCTTAAGGTATTTTACATATGCAGATTCAGATGGGCATGCTGTATTTGAGAGCATTGTGAAGTAATTTATAAATCAATGCCTTATTGGATATTGGAGTTAAGAAAATACTGCATAGCAAAAATAAAAGACTTTGGAGTTAAACTAGCCTGTTTGAACCAACCTGTGTCAGTAGCTGACTTTGTCTACATTACTCAAGTTTCATGAACCTGATTCTTATCTAAAAGATAAGATTTTATGAGGATTAAAATAAATGAGCACTTTGTATGCTTCCTAGCACATGTGTGTTCAGTAATCCTAAATTGTGTCTTGTTCTTTTTTTTTAAGTTTATTTATTTTAATGTTTATTTTTGAGAGAGAGAAAGCGTGGTTGTATTTTATGCAAGCGAGGGAGGGGCAGAGAGAGAGAGAGGGAGACAGGATCTGAAGCAGGCTCAGTGCGCTGAGAGCAGAGAGCCATATTCTGGGCTCTAACTCACAAACCGTGAGCTCATGACCTGAGCTGAAGTCGAACGTTTAACCGACTGAGCCACGTGAGTGCCCCAAGTTTGTTTATTTTTGAGAGAGCATGAGTGGGTGAGGGGCAGAGAGAGAATCCCATGCAGGGTCTGAGCTGTCAGTGCAGCACCTGACACGGGGCTTGATCTCACAAACCATGAGATCGTGACCTGAGCTGAAATCCAAGAGTCAGGCGCTTAACCCACTGAACCACCGAGGCACCTCTTGTTGTTTGTCTTATAGGGAAAATAAAACTTTCTGAATAAAACTTTCTGAAAAAAAGTGTTAGTAATTGGTCTTGGAAATGTAAGGAGGTGTATTTTGAGGGTGGAGAAGAGGAAAACAGTTCTTTTGGGTCATTCCTATGGAGATTTTTCGGTGATAAGAGAGAGAATAGGGGAAGATAGTCAATTTGAGTGATTATCCAATTTAATTCTGTTGTGATCAGAGCACATACTTTGTATGATTTGAATAATTTTAAATGTATTGCAGCTTTGATAATGGCCTAGAATATGGTCTATCTCAGTACGAGTTCTCTGTGTCCTTGAAAAAATTGTGAGTTCTTTTGCTGTTGGGTGGAGCGTACTCTAAATGTCAGTGGTTTTGTGGTTTAGTGGTTGATAGTAAGTAGTATTTGTTTTTTATATGCTTACTGTTTATTCTGTGAGTTATTGAGTGAGCGGTGTTGAAATCTCCAACTATTAATTGTGGATTTGTCGATTGTTCTTAATTCTATCAGTTTTTGCTTCCTCTCTTGAGGCTCTGTTAATATGTGTATAAACGTGAATTTTTATGTTGTATTGATGAATTGACCCCTTTATCATTGTAAAAGGACCTTTATTTAAGGCTATTCATTGCTCTGAAATAAACTTTTTCTGGTAATACATAGTTACTTCTCCTTCTTAATTAAATTTTTAAATAAAGTTTATTTATTTATATAAAGAATAGGTGGGGGAGGGGTAGAGAGAATCCCAAGCAGGCTCCACACTGCTAGCACAGAGCCCAATGTGGGGCTCAATCTCCTGAACCGTGAGATCATGACCTGAGCCACCCAGGGGCCCCTCCTCTTTTTTTTAAAAAAACATGTTCATTTGAGAGAGAAAGTGAGCAAGCAAGGGAAGGGCAGAGAGACAGGGAGAGAGAATCCTAAGAAGGCTTTGCCTGTCAGCACAGAGCATGACATGGGGCTCAATCCCACAAATCTTGAGATCATGACCTGAGCTGAAATTAAAAGACACTCAGGCATGTCATTTACTCCTTCCTTTTCTTCCTTCCTTCCTTCCTTCCTTCCTTCCTTCCTTCCTTCCTTCCTTCCTTCCTTCCTTCCTTCCTTCCTTCCTTCCTATTTATTTTTGAGAGAGACAAAGAATGTGAGTGGGTTAGGAGCAGAGAGAAAGGGAGACACAGAATCTGAAGCAGGCTCCAGGCTCTGAGCTGTCAGCACAGAGCCCGACACGGGCCTTGAACTCATGAGCTGTGAGATCATGACCTGAGCTGAAGTCAAATGCCCAACGGACTGAGCCACCCAGGTGCCCCTCCTCCTTTCTTTTGATTACTGTTAACATGTTACATCTTTCTCCATAGTTTTGCATTTAATCTCTTTGTGGCTTTATACCTAAAGTGGATTTCTGTGTAGGCAGCATATAGTTAGATCTTGTTTATTTAGTCTGACAATTTCTGCCATTTATTTATTTATTTGTTTATTTATTTATTTATTTATTTATTTTAATGTTTATTCATTTTTGAGAGAGAAAGAGAAACAGAGCATGAGCGCAGGAAGGCCAGAGAGAGAGGGAGACACAGAATTTGAAGGAGGCTCCAGGCTCTGAGCTGTCAGCACAGAGCCCAGTGCAAGGCTTGAACTCATGAACTGTGAGGTCATGACCTGAACCAAAGTCAGGCACTTAACCAACTGAGCCATCCAGGTGCCCCAATTTCTGCCTTTTAATTGAATATTTAGCCTGTTTACATTTAATGTGATTGTTGATGTCATAGGTTTTAAATCCACTATCCTCCTATTTATTCTGTCTCATTTATTTTTATGATTGCATAGTATGTCCTTTATTGGTTTATTAGCTGTAACATTGTTTTGTTATTTTAATAGTTGATTTTGGGTTTACTACAGCCATCTTTTAAGTTATTACAGTCTACTTTCAATATTAAATCACTTCTTGGGGGCGCCTGGGTGGCGCAGTCGGTTAAGCGTCCGACTTCAACCAGGTCACGATCTCACGGTCTGTGAGTTCGAGCCCCGCGTCGGGCTCTGGGCTGATGGCTCAGAGCCTGGAGCCTGTTTCCGATTCTGTGTCTCCCTCTCTCTGCCCCTCGCCCGTTCATGCTCTGTCTCTCTCTGTCCCAAAAATAAATAAACGTTGAAAAAAAAAAAATTTAAAAAAAAAAAAAATAATAAATAAATCACTTCTTGTATTATATGATAACCTTACAACAGTATATTTCCATTTCCTTTCTCTCTGCTTTTTGTGATATTGTTTTTACTTCTATTGTTTTACTACTTTTACTTCTATGTAAAAGAAGTGTGATAATAAATATAAATTCCAGGGGCTCCTGGCTGGTGCAGTTGGTGGAGTATGGGACTTTTGATCTCGGGGTTGTTAGTTCAAGCCCCACATTGGGTGTGGAGATGACTTAAAAATAATTTTTTTTAAGAAAGAAAGATCACTCCTACAATAATTAGTTGTTGCCATTTTTACTTTAAACAGCCAGTTATCTTAAAAAAATTTTTTTTGTTTTTAATACAGCACATGTAAGCAAGGGAGGGAGCAGAGAGAGAGAATAAGAATCTCAAGCAGGCTCCAGACTCTATCCCACAACCCTGAGATCATGACCTGAGCCGAAATCAAGAGCCGGATGCTCTTGTCGGGAGACAACTAGGGAGAAAGCAAATGGTTTTCTGAAAGGTGTTGAACAGAGATTAAAAACAAAAACTTTGAAGTGAAAATTCCTAATTTCTAGTCCAGTGTTTTACCTGACACCTCACTCCATACAACAGCCCATTTTCTGCTTTAAACTGTCCTGTGAACCAAGCAAGGTTCATTGCCTCATGAGGCTGCTTATTCTTTTTATGGACAGGCTGATACAGTGGGAATTTATTTTCTAGGAGAAAAAAGTGGAGAGATTGTAATAAGTATAAAGCAGGTCCCATAGGAATGCATTTATTCATCTGTTTGTCAAACATTTATTTAACACTTAAAATGTGCCAGTTATTGCTAGAAGCTAGGGAAGCAGAGGTGAAAGACAACATCTAGGGGCTCCCGGTCTGATGCAGTAACAAACCCAAAAGTTGCAGCAGCGTTGGGAGTAATGGTGCTTGCCTTGAGGTCTGGCACAGCTCTTAGCTCCACATACGTCCACCATTTGACTGTCTCCCATTGTACAGGACACTGGCACATCAGACCCGGTGTCTACTGAATGGAGTTTATACCAACTTCTCTTGTCCCTATTCTCAATGCCCGAGTAAGTAATTAAACTTATAAACTTATTAAATAAGTAATTAAACCATTTCTGTTGGAGATACCACTTTTCTAGTTTTATTCTTCCTTCCCAACTGCCAAGAAACCTGAGTTCTTTTTGTTTGACTTTGAGTTCATTCTGCACATAAGATCTTAAACTCTGAAATTTCCCCTTTTGATCTTTGTGAATTTTTTTATTAAAAAAAATTTTTAATGTTTATTTTTGAGAGAAAGACAGAGCACGAGCAGGGGAAGGGCACAGAGAGAGAGAGAGAGAGAGAGAGAGAGAGAGAATTTGAAGCAGGCTCCAGGCTCTGAGCTGTCAGCAGAGAGCCCAACACAGAGCTCGAACTCAAAAACCGTGAGATCATGATCTGAGCCAAAGTCGGACACGACACTTAACTGACTGAGCCACCCAGGCACCCTGATCTTTGTGAATTTATTCTGATCCCATGGATTGAGCCACCCTGGTGCCCCAACCACTTTAATAACTGTATGATCGTAGGCAATTTTGTAACCTTTCTGGATCTCATTTCTTCATCTTTAGAAGGGATCTAATCATGTGATCTACCTCCTGGGATAATCCAAATAATATGCTTTGTATTTAATCTTCAAAAATCCCATGAGTTCTGTTCTACAGAAAAATGTGGTAAACTTTGGATCCTGTTAGGGTATAACTGTAGAAAACTTCAAATACAAAGAATTTGGGAGGGAATTATGTAATTTATTACCATGTTTATGCCAACTAATTTTTAAAATTCTCTTTTCTAGTACAAGACAAGGTAGATTTGTAACCTTAGTTATTTGGAAAACGGACTAAAAGTAACACATTTGGTTTGTGTCCAATAAATGTTATATAAGCAAACATTTTTTTTCAGTGTGTGTTATTTTGTTTGTGTGAATCCTTTTGAATTATGGGCTACCATGAGTTGTAGTATTCTTTACTTAAAAAGTCATCCTAGAAGGAATAGTTTTTCCACCTTTGAATCTATTCAAGAAATTGACTGATGTGACTATATAGAAACAAAATTTGAGGGACACCTAGGTGGCTCAGTCAGTTAAGCTTCAGACTCTTGATTTTGGCTCAGGTCATGATCTCAACAATTTGTGAGATAGAGCCCCACATCAGGCTCCGTGCTAACAGCTGAGAGCCTACTTGGAATTCTCTCCCCACCTCCCTCTCTGCCTCTTCCCTGTTCGCATTCTCCTTCTCTCTCAAAATAAATAAACGTTTAAAAAAACTAAAAATTAAAGGAAGACAATAAAGTGAAGTGTTATGTTAAATGCCAAATGATTAATGTCTATACTATATTAAAATATATTCTGCATGGGGTGCCTGGGTGGCTCAGTTAAGCATTCGACTTCAGCTCAGGTCATGATCTCACGGCTCCTGAGTTCAAGCCCTGCGTTGGGCTGTGTGCTGACAGCTTGGAGCCTGGAAGCCTGCTTTGGATTCTGTGTCTCCCTCTCTCTTTCTCTGTCAAAAATAAACATTAAAAAAATTTTTTTAATAAAAAAAAGAATATATTCTACAAATACATGGGCAAAAGGCTAGAAATAGTCCATGAAGTGGGGAAGGATATAGGGGAAGTATGTCTTGGTATATTAAAAACATAAATTGGGGGCGCCTGGGTGGCTCAGTTGGTTAAGCATCCGACTTCAGCTCAGGTCACGATCTCACGGTCCGTGAGTTCGAGCCCTGCGTCGGGCTCTGGGCTGATGGCTCAGAGCCTGGAACCTGCTTCTGATTCTGTGTCTCCCTCTCTCTCTGACCCTCCCCCGTTCATGCTCTGTCTCTCTGTCTCAAAAATAAATAAACATTAAAAAAAAATTTTTTTTAAATAAAAAAAAAGAAAACATAAATTGAGGGGTGCTTGGCTGGTAGACTGTGCGACTCTTGATCTTGGGGTTGTAAGTTTGAGCCTCATGTTGGGAAAGAGATTACTTAAAAAATCTTTAAGAAAAACGCACAGTGGCGCCTGGCAGGTTCAGTCGCTTAAGCGTCTGACTTTGGCTCAGGTCAGGTCATGATCTCACGGTTCGTGGGTTTGAGCCCTGCCTGGGGTTCTCTGTCTCCCTCTCTCTCTGCCCCTCCCCTGTTCATGATCTCTCTGTCTCTCAAAAATAGATACTTAAAAAAAATTTTTTTTTTCAAGTTGGATGACAGTGCAAAGCAAGAGTCATGCAGATTTACATTTCCTGTGACCTAATAATACTGCTTCCTAGAATTTGTCTATAGATAAATTCAACCAAAGCATAAAGAATATATTTTTTCAGGAGGATAATAAGTACATATGTACATGTAAATCGATTGGGCTTTCTTAGAAAAAACATTTAACAGCTTGCCATCCCCCTCCTGTTGTGCTCCCATGTGCTCCACTCGTGCTCCCATGTGCTCCACTCGTGCTCCACTCATCCTGTGCTCCCATGGCACTTGCTTTAAAAGATGAAGTATGGAAATGATTTTTATGTTTCCATGAGAGCCATTCACAGAGTAATTGCACACACTCACTCCCCATTCTGTATTCATGTCTGTTTGCTGAAAAAGGGAAGTCAGAGAAGATTATGTCCTGAATTTTAGGTTTCTGATAGCAGAGCAAAAAATGGTTCAGAAGAAAGGGAACTGTAGTGGAACATTTCTAAAGAAAGAAAATTTCCCAAAGTTACTAAATACATCACATATACCGAAGGTATGGGTGGCATTTGTGATTGCCCTTGGGAAGCCCGGTTCTTAGGGTTCAACATTTTCTAAGTCTAGACTGTATCTTAACCAGTATACAGTGCCTACTTCTATATGTGTATAAATTGCTGCTTTATAAGCTCTGAAGGACATAGGACTAATTCCTCCTCCCCCCAGAAAAGGTAGATTATTATATGAGATGCTGAACCGTTGAGAACTGTTTCATCACATTAATTGCTAAAAAGATACTTGTCTTTGGTATGGAGAGAGGTGTAGGGGAGGAGTTTTCTAACAGTTACACTGTGATTTTGACTAATTGGAGTAAATCGAACTTCAGGCTTTAGGGAAAATGCTTTAGATGTGGTGTTTGGAAAAATCTGAGTCTGAACTTGGGGGTGTGAATCATTACAGGAGTTGTGTTAGAAACTTGACTATGTCACCATTTAAAGATTGCATATTACTCTTGTGGTTTTATAACTTGTATTCAGTGAGAGAAGTGGTAAAATGCTTGTGTGGTCAGATTCTGCATGTAATCTTGATACTTCCATGTTCTGTAGGTGCCTGTACTATCTGTCTTTTTTTTTTTTTTTTTTAAGTTTATTTATTTTAATAGTGCAGAGAAGGGGCGGAATGAGAGGGAGAGAGAGAATCCCAAGCAGGCTCTGCACTGTTAGCACAGAGACCTACTTGGGACTCAGACCCACAAACCATGAGATCATGACCTGAGCTGAAACGAAGAGTCAGACACTCAACCGACTGAGCCACCCAGGCACCCCTTTTCTTAGTTTTTCATTGACGTTTTGGAAAATTTTCCAGGTTTTTTCCCAATATCTTACCCCATCACCACCAGTTTTTCTTATTAAATTACTACGAACACATAACACTTAGAGATTGTTTTAAATTTATTAAATTAAATGATAGCAAATGAACAAAGTTGGCACCTTATGGATGACTCCTGGCCATGACTATTCAAAGTTGGCAGAACTTGATAATAAGTAATAATTTGGGGGCTCCTGAGTGGTTCAGTTGGTTAATAAGCGTCTGAGTTCGGCTCAGGGCATGATCTCATGGTTCGTGAATTGCAGCCACACATCAGGCATTACGCTGGCAGTGCAGAGCCTGCTTGGGATTCTCTTTCTGCCTCTCTCTGCTCCTTCCCCACTTGTGCTTTCTTTCTCTCTCCCAAATAAACTTTAACACAAACACACACACACACTAATTTGTCCTGGTTTTATTTTGAGAGACAGAGTATGTATGAGAGGGGGAGGCACAGAGAGAGGGAGAGACAGAATCCTAAGCAGGCTGCACACTTTCAGCACAGAGAGCCCCAGTGGGGCTTCAACTCACGAGCTGTGAGATCATGACCTGAGCCGAAGTCACACACTTAACCGACTGAGCCACTCAGGTGCTCCCCGCAAGATTTTATTTTTAAGTAATCTCTACACCCAGTGTAGGGCTTGAACCCAAAACCCTGAGATCAAGAGTCACATGCTCCACTGAGTCAGCCAGGCACCCCGGTGTTATTTTTTTAAAATCACAGTACAGATGCAGGTGTTTTCTTTCCGTGAGCAGTTTCTTTGTGTGAAGCTGTAAATCACCTCCAGTGTATTCAAGTGTCCCAGTGACTGAGATCCAGCTGTTGGGTGTTTTAACTAAACAGCTTGCTCATTGTTGGCCATTCAAATCCCAGTGAGAGGTATTAGCTGCTCCAGGGAATAGAACGGGAATAGAGCATCCAGGGTGAAGATTTTCGCAAGGCCTTTAGTGACCCAGCTTAAATTTGTTGAGATTTTTCTGCTTTGGCTTTTTCCTGTAGGTGCCAGAGTTGATCTGCTTCAGATTTTCATGAATGACTCATCTTCCTGTCGTGTTTTCTTTTCTTTCTTTAAAAAAAATTTTTTTTAGTGTTAGTTTATTATTGAGAGAGAGAAAGAGCATGAGCATGGGAGGGGCAGAGAGAGGGGGAGACACAGAATCTGAAGCAGGCTCCAGGCTCTGTGCACAGAGCCTGATGTGGGGCTCGAACTCACAAACCATGAGATCATGACCTGAGGCAAAGTCGGACGCTTAACCAACTGAGCCACCCAGGCTCTCCATCCTGTCGTATTTTCTTAGACTACAATAACTTAATCTTTGGGTCACTTTAAACATAGTTTCTCCTATCACATGTATTGGGAGGAATATACGGAGGTATTCAAACTCAAGCATGTTTCTTCCTCATGCTGATTAATTCCTCTGCTCCATAGAAAACTTGTTTCTTCCTGAAAATGGCATTTTAATGATTATTTTCTGTAGGAGGAAGCTTGTGACCTTCACTTGTCTTTTTTCCTTCCAGAGGGAATCTGGAAAAGTTATAAGCAAAACATCATTTCTCTAAGAAAATTCTGGATAACAGAAGTTCTGAGTAACAGGTAAAGTATATTTAAACTTCTTGGATGCTGATGATCACCTATAATCTACAAAAGTAAACTGGGAGTGGGAAGAAGAGAAGAAGGAGAGAGAAGTGTGCTTTGTGTCAGGGGTTGCATTAGGAATTGTATATACATCATCTCATTTAGATGATTGTTACCCAGATGCTGGGTGTATAGATCTAAGAATCTCAGAATAAAACTGCCCTTCAAAATGCTGTTTTGAATGGATTTGCCTATGGATTGGATTTAATGTCCTCACACCACAGTTTGCAAACGTAAATCTACCATAGACCAAATACAGCGGTACACAGAATCCTGGAATCTGCTATCCTGTGCCGTCTAGCCAGTTCCTAGTCTTCCTAGTTCCTTTCTGTCTTTTGTTTTAGTTCTTGATCATTGCCAGTTATTTGCAGCTGTATCATCTCCTTGATTCTTTTTTTTTTTTTTTAAATTTTTTTTTTTTTTTTTTTTTCAACGTTTATTTATTTTTGGGACAGAGAGAGACAGAGCATGAACAGGGGAGGGGCAGAGAGAGAGGGAGACACAGAATCGGAAACAGGCTCCAGGCTCTGAGCCATCAGCCCAGAGCCCGACGCGGGGCTCGAACTCACAGACCGCGAGATCGTGACCTGGCTGAAGTCGGACGCTTAACCGACTGCGCCACCCAGGCGCCCCTCCTTGATTCTTTTTAATACTTTGTCACCAGGTCCAAAATTTAAATTTCCTAATAAGGTACCTCTTCACAATGGGGTCCAACCCAAGTGTCCCCATTATGTTCTCGGTGAGAGTCTTACCATGACTGGAAAGAATAGCTACACCTCTCACACTGTTTTCTTATTTATATCTCACAGAGAAGTTTATGAAATAATAGTATGCATAAAGAATCTAGTATGCTGGGTCTGAGAAACACATCTCAGATGTTAGCTACAATTTTACCTTTGGAACTAGGGAAGACATGAAAGCTAACCAGACTTCTAGGATTCTGTAGGTCCAAAGATGTGCTCATAGACTGAGGTGAATTGTCCTTCCTGGGGGTAGTAGAGAGTGAGATGCTCTTTATTCTAATTAGCACTCTGGCATGAGCCTTGAAGTTAGATTTCAAGTATTCAAAAAAGTAGTTCCTAGAGATACCATCAAAAAATTAAGTTGTTCAGATTTTTGTATTTGTTGATTTTCCTTTGACATTTTTCATTTTTCCATTTTTATCAGGGCAAACCAATTCCATCACCATGAGTTGGAGCTTCCTGACTCGCCTGCTAGAGGAGATCCACAACCATTCCACATTCGTGGGGAAGATCTGGCTCACTGTACTGATTGTCTTCCGGATTGTCCTTACGGCTGTAGGAGGAGAATCCATCTATTATGATGAGCAAAGCAAATTTGTGTGCAACACGGAGCAGCCAGGCTGTGAGAATGTCTGCTATGACGCCTTTGCACCCCTCTCCCATGTGCGCTTCTGGGTATTCCAGATCATTTTGGTGGCAACCCCCTCGGTGATGTACCTGGGCTACGCCATTCATAAGATTGCCAAGATGGAGCATGGCGAAGCAGACAAGAAAACAGCTCGGAGCAAACCCTATGCAATGCGTTGGAAACAGCACCGGGCTCTGGAAGAAACAGAAGAGGACCATGAGGAGGATCCCATGATGTATCCAGAAATGGAATTGGAAAGTGAAAAAGAAAATAAAGAGCAGAACCAAACTAAACCCAAGCACGATGGCCGCCGGCGGATTCGGGAGGACGGGCTTATGAAAATCTACGTGCTGCAGTTGCTGGCAAGGACCGTGTTTGAGGTGGGTTTTCTGATAGGGCAGTATTTTCTGTATGGCTTCCAAGTCCACCCATTTTATGTGTGCAGCAGACTTCCTTGCCCTCATAAGATAGACTGCTTTATTTCGAGACCCACTGAAAAGACCATCTTCCTTCTGATAATGTATGGTGTTACAGGCCTTTGCCTATTGCTTAACATTTGGGAGATGCTTCATTTAGGGTTTGGGACAATTCGAGACTCACTAAACAGTAAAAGGAGGGAACTGGAAGATCCGGGTGCTTATAATTATCCCTTCACTTGGAATACACCATCTGCTCCCCCTGGCTATAACATTGCCGTCAAACCAGATCAAATCCAGTACACCGAACTGTCCAACGCTAAGATTGCCTACAAGCAAAACAAGGCCAACATCGCCCAGGAACAACAGTACGGCAGCCATGAGGAGAACCTCCCAGCTGACCTGGAGACTCTGCAGCGGGAGATCAAAATGGCTCAGGAGCGCTTGGATCTAGCAATCCAGGCCTACAGTCACCAGAACAACCCTCATGGTCCCCAGGAAAAAAAAGCCAAAGTGGGGTCCAAAGCTGGGTCCAACAAGAGCAGTGCCAGTAGCAAATCAGGGGATGGAAAGACCTCCGTCTGGATTTAATCTTGGCTGGGATTAAAACTTGTGCTCTTCCATAGTCCGTGGTAAGCAGTGGCTCACTGAATAATGGCCTCTGTTGAGTAAACATTTGGCTCTGGTTATCTTCAGGGATGCTGTTGGCTCATGATCCACGCTCAGGGGACTCTGAAAGCGGGGCTGGGACGAGGGGGAGAAAAGGGGAAACACCGTGTTCGTGGGCACATATTTCAGCAATAATACTGTTACAGAACTTTACATTTGTGTCTTCCAGATCTGGAAAAAAAACAGATATATTTAAATCATTCTTGTTGAAAAGTTTTTGTATGTACAGTATTATGGTACATTTTTTTAGTATGAGTACTTTTTTTTGTATTTGTATATTGGACTGCTGTAGTTACACTTTTATATTAAAGGAAAAAAAATCCTTAAGGTAATGCCTATTAGGCCAGTGTTATTACTTTGTTCAGCAAATTCCACCCTGGGTTTAAAGTTTTAATAGATGCTACACCTAATAAAAGTGCCTCTCGTGTTGCAGGGAAGATTTCGGATATGTCAGGAGCCGGAGGAGGAAGCATCAATTTTCAATCTTGGAAAGAAAGTCCACAGTAGAAGGAGGCTGAGATCTTTTCTCCTTTACTTAAGAAATCTTTGAATCTCATTCACCTACCCAAACCTATATCCAATCTTTGAAAACCTGTTTGTATTTTCAAAGGATATAAATGATTAACTGCAGGATTCATTTAATTATCAAGCATTGCCAGCAAATGCCTCGATGGTGTGCACATAATTTAAGTTCTCCCAAAAGGCTGATACACAAAAGTGTCCTCAGTCTGGTAGCAGCGTGGAGACCCTGACCAGAGGTGTTACTAAGATTCCTCTATTGCAAAGCCATGCCTGGAAAATGAGCCCTACTACAATGTTTAGTTGTGGACCTATTTGATTTGCCTTAAATCTCTATCCAGAAACCTGCCTTTCTGGTTTCTTAAGAAACCAGTGGTGGATATTTTCTTTGGATGTTAACATTAGAAATAAAAAAAATTCTCTTCTAGGCTAAAAATACTCAGAGCCATTTGTATTGCCTGTGGCAGAAGGCCTAAATCCAAATTCCTTATTTTTTTGTAATTTGCTGCGTAACTTTTGTAATTTCTATACTTCTGCCAATGTAGATTTCTTTCTGTATAGAAGACCAGTCAGAATGGGGATTCTATCTGTAAATAGACCTAAAGAGAATTTCAGAATTTATTCCCTCAAGGCATATCTATTTGTTAATGACAAGCATTGATGTTCACATAACACTTACAATTTGCAGTATTTTATTGGTATTTTCAGTCCTGTATTCTGTGGGAGAGCTTTGCTCTCCCAGCCCATTCACATCGTTTGTCTTAGTTTATGAGCTTGTAAGCAAGAGCTTGGTAAGGATGTAAAGGAAGGGGCCTTTGTTTCCCATGGAGCTTTTGGGTTTGAGTGTCTCACTGTTTTCTGATAGAAAGCAAGCCACCTCTGACTTTGAAATTGCAAAAGTATTATTTTTTAGGTCTTAATTTTAAAATGTCCATTCTTTATTATTTAGGAGAATCCTGGAACAGCACCCTTTGGGCATTTCTTTTTCATTTCTTTCTTTGTTCTACTCAGAAAATTTCAGCTTATCTTCTAGCCATGCATTAACTTTTTTTGCCCTTTTTTTTTTTTCTTAATCTATAAATTTTAGCCTAGAGAAGCTCCTTATAATCTCTAAACACCTTAATCAGAAAGTAAACTCAGGAGAGACTGAAGGGGAATTTCAGAAAACAATAGACCTGACATGTCCTGGATCATTAGCAGACTCGTGCAGTTTCCTTCATACCAAGTGTTTTATAAAGAAATTCAAGTGCTTATTAGAAAACAGGCAAGCTTTTAAACACCTAAGCTTATTTAAGATGAAGATCTATCAGTCCCCTCTGGTGTCACTAGAGATTCAAGGAAATTTCTTAACCAAAGGACAGAAGATAGATACACACTCAATGCACATCTACACAGAGCCTGAAGGAGACAGTGGCTTCGCCAGAGGAAAGGCTGGGGGCTCGAGAGTGACAGAGAGGAAAGGAGTCAAGCAGAAATGCCAGGCAAAGACGTGTGATGCCAGAAGCGTCTACTTAGTTCCTACAAACAGTGCCCTCGGTGTTTCCTCTTGGCTTGTTCCGATGAAAATGTTATTTTGTGTCTGGATAATTCTTCCAATATCTTAAAGTATATAGAAAAATATTCTAAGTCACTTCACATGTGCAAGTCTACTCTCTCACCAAAGTTTTAGCTATGACATAGAGTTCCCAACTCTCACTGCTTTCTTGGTACATTTCTTCAGCCTCTGAACCATGGGAGTTTGCCAAAGCCATTTCCCCATAATGGCATGTCATGGACCTCCATTAGGAAAATGGCCCTATCAGTGTCTAGCTTAACCCATGAATTGGGTCTACATCGAATCTATAAAAATATCATTCTGGTTATTCTGGAACTTACAGGTATTAGTATAAAAAGCCTGTCCGGGGGCGCCTGGGTGGCGCAGTCGGTTAAGCGTCCGACTTCAGCCAGGTCACGATCTCGCGGTCCGTGAGTTCGAGCCCCGCGTCGGGCTCTGGGCTGATGGCTCAGAGCCTGGAGCCTGTTTCCGATTCTGTGTCTCCCTCTCTCTCTGCCCCTCCCCCGTTCATGCTCTGTCTCTCTCTGTCCCAAAAATAAACGTTGAAAAAAAAAAATTAAAAAAAAAAAAAAGCCTGTCCGCAGGTTTTTTTTTTTCCCCTATCAAAATTGTATTCCTTGGAATTGCCATAAAGTCATGTCTGTCCTATGACATTTGCTTCTCTAAATAGTTGAGTGCTTAGTCCTTCCATCTACTAGAACCAGGATATGGTCAATATGTTTATATTTCTTAATACTATTGGATCTATTCCGATGTGTTTTTTGCTCATTTGTGTTAAAATGTGTTACCAGGAGAGATTTATAAAACAGGCTTTTTTCTTAATTCAAATTTGAAGGGAGAATTAGATAACATTTTCTCCTAAAGAAGTCTTAATGTTCACTTTGTGGCTTCATCTTTGCCTTATGACTTAGTTTTTCCTGTTTCTATATTTGCTCATTGAAAGCCACAAATATGTTATCTCATTTGAAGTCCGTTTTTCTGGGGATTTTCCTTGACTAATCTGCAAAAAACTACTTTTGATAAAAATGAACTTTGTGATCTAAAATGGTTTTCACATCCCTGACAACTCCCACATATCTGTCTTTTACAAGGACACCTATGTCTTTAAAGAGAAAAAAAAGTCCTCATTCGGTACCGTAACTCTGTCATTTCTTAATGGTGTAAAATTAAGCAGTTCACCTGACTTTCCCAAGTTTCAGGAGCTACTTCTTGGAAGTGTTATGAAGTAGTTAGAGCCTATGGTAAAAGGTATTCAAAGACCAACTATTTATTGGTCATGTGTCTGAACTTGGGTCTTCAAGAAAAAAATAGTTGACAAAACTACACAATGGCAGTAGTAAACCATCCTCCAGTGCTCTTGATCACAGGAGTCGGTGATGGCTTAAAACACTTGGCTTTAAGCAGTTTATACCAAGAATGGACTTAAATGTCATTCCCGTTAGTCATACTGATGCTTTACCCTTTCAGCTTATAAATGTCCATGCTTTATTCCTTCTGTCTCATTTAGGAGACCGTATACCTCTAACATCTACAGTTTATGATAAATTTTTGGCCAGCTAGCTTGCAGTAAAGGCAAGTATGTTATACTTGAACCTACTTTAAGAAATGCCTTTTTATAAAGGAAGGGTCTTTCTTGACTGAAAGGGACCTGAAAGTCAAAGATACACAGTTGTGGGTCATTTTGATTGGAAGATTCCAGGTATTAGGTTAATTGTATCTGTATAAAATCATGTAATCTCATGAAGAGCCTTACCACCTGAAAATAAGAAAGCCTCAGCGCCTCTACAGTGTAGAGTTTGGAAATAAAAGTTACATTCTGGCCACACATCATGGAGAGATTAAAAGATTTTATTTGTTGCCCCTAATGCAGTTGTGTTGTTTTTAATAATAACGTTAAGTGAGTTTGGTTCGTGCACATTCCACCTTAATAGTCATACTTTTTAGAAAGAGGCAGTCCAGGGGTGCCTGGGTGCCTCAGTCAGTTGAGTCTCCGACTTCGGCTCAAGTCATGATCTCACAGTCTCTGAGTTCGAGCCCCAGGTCGGGCTCTGTGCTGACAGCTCAGAGTCTGGAGCCTGCTTCTAATTTTGCATCTCCCTCTCTGCCCCTCCCCTGCTCATACTCTGTCTCTCTCTCTCAATAATAAAAAAAATTTTATTTTTATTTTTTTTTAATTTTTTTTTTCAACGTTTATTCATTTTTGGGACAGAGAGAGACACAGATGAATGGGGGAGGGGCAGAGAGAGGGAGACACAGAATCGGAAACAGGCTCCAGGCTCTGAGCCATCAGCCCAGAGCCCGACGCGGGGCTCGAACCCACGGACCGCGAGATCGTGACCTGGCTGAAGTCGGACGCTTAACCGACTGCGCCACCCAGGTGCCCCCAAAAAAAATTTTTTAAAGAGACAATCCATAGTATTCTAAAATCCAGGAGTCCAAACAAAAGAAAGTCTTACTCCCATGCAAAGTCCCTACAGAAATAAAAGGAGTAAGTGTTTTACATTTCAAGGTTGGCTTGTTGAACCAGCAAAGACATTGGCTATTTGTTTCCAAGATTGGAAATTTTTCTTTATTGTATTTTCCAGTTGTGTTTTCTTTAATAAAGCTCTTACAGAAGTCTCTACCTCAGGCACTAAGTATTAGATACAGTTAGCATATTGATACTGAAAAACTTAGCTAGGACTTCTAGCTTTTTAAGATAATTGAAATATAATTTTCAACTGTTAACCAGCAATCTAATGTCATGTGTGGTTTGGATGTTGTATGAACAGCTAAGGAATTACCATTCTAGTGCCAAAGATCACTCATTGCTAATTTTGTTCTGTACAGTTAATGTAAAACTTTTATGGTGGGGACAGACTTCTGTGCTCGGGGCCTTGTCTCTAGGAAGATTTGTCAGTTCCAAATGTTTTGTGAGTTCCAAATACAGTTTAGAAGATTCATTTGTGGTCTGTGCATCTTTTCCCAAACTTGAGAACTCGGCTGCCAGTAAATGCCATATTGAGGATTTTACCCCATTCTTTGTGTAAAATAGTACCTGATGGCTTAATGGTTTGTACAGAAAACCTGATATGAAAATCTCTCCTAGTACATTCACCTGTAAACTGATCTCAGTGGGAATGCATGAGCAGAAAAACTTCCAAGCAGGTGACTTGGGCTCAAAACATGCCCTTGTTCATAGCTGAGTTACACAACTCTTGATTACTGTGCCTACGTGAATTGGCATATTACTGGCATCCTAAATCTGGGAAGGGGATGTGGCCTTGTGTAGGAGTGGGGGGGTCTGGAGTCTAAGCACAGAAACTGGGAACACAGCCTGTCTCGCTCCCTGTAGTTCTCAG